AATGAAAATCCTTTCATGGATAATTTCAGCCTAATAGCGAGAGTGTAGGTTTTGACATCATAAAAAAGGGGGAAATTGTTAGGAACATGTGTAGTTAGATTTTGATGATACCAAACTCACTAAGAATTTAGACCCCTCTTTTACTCTCGTAGTTCAGTTTTGTTCGATAAGAACGAAACCTTATGTAAGTTGTTTCTGCTCACAATATGATTCATGCTCAGTTGTGCTCTACACGAATCAGAGCATCTTTCTGACAGACAGATCAAGAGAAGGCCGAGAGATCTGCTTAGACCGAAACTTGGAAGGGTCTATCTCTCATGTAATTGTCAAATGATAAAGAAAGATCATTTGAACTGTGAAGACAGCGAATGATAAGGACAATCATTTGTTACTAGAATCCGAGACTACGAGTCAAGTCTGACTCGATTGGACAAGTCTTATATATTTTTAGAAGCATAAAATGTCTAAGTCTTAGAGTTGGAAAAATCATTCTAGACAAATGGTGTCCTAAGAATGATATTTTAAATCCCAAGGAGCATTAAATGATTTGTACTTTTTTCAGTACTAAAAGAGAAAGGTAGGTCACCTTTTTGCTACCAACGGCTACATGGTACAAGCCGCATTAAAGTCTCCTTACCCAGCGGATATTACACACTGGTTAATAGGTTTGAAATCTCATCTTCCTCCAACGGATGTATTTCTCACACCTATAAATACCCCTCTTCTTCACTTGAAGAAGGTGTTGGTCATCACTCTATATATTGCTAACAAAGCTTTCAAAACTCTCAAGTTATAAGCTATTTATGGCCAGTGTGTGTGTGTTTGTGAAGATTGTTTTAAAGAGAATCTAGCCTTCAAAGTCTTCACAACATCAAGAAATCGTGTACAAGTATACGAAGATCAAGCTTTATCAAGTCAATATTTCAAGTTGGAGATACCATCAACCTTTTTCCAACCACTCAACTCTGTAAAAGTTGATAGAGGCGGAGTAAACTCGGAGGAGTTGAAAAACCTTAGCAAGTTGCTGTCCGGCTTAGTGATCAAGGAAGCAAGCTTGGCTTAGTTTATACTAGGAGTGATAGTACAAACCCTTTCATGAGTTCTGAAAGAAGAGTGGAGTAGGCTTCGTTAATAGCCGAACCACTATAAAAATCTCTCTATCTACCTCTCTCATTTATATTTACTTTACTGTTTTGCATTGCATTCCCATCAAACCTAAGAAAATATTTTCAGCATTAAAGTGTGCAAACACTAGTACAAAATTGAGAATACAAGTACCACTTTTCGAAACACCTTCACGAAGAAGGTGTTGTAGAAAGAAAATGGTAAAACTTTTCGCGTCACCAACCGGGTAAAGGTGCCTCAGAAATTATATTATTAAAATAATAATAAAGGAATCCGCGACACCAACTGGAAAGGAGTGCCGCGAATATTATATTATCAAAATAATAATAAGGGTATCCGCGACACCCGCTATAAGAAGGTGCCGCGAATATTTTATTATTAAAATAATAATATGGATTTTCGCGGCACCTATCCCAAATGGTGCCATGGGAAGTTATAGAATTTGGTCATAAAAAAATAAAAATTATTACAATTTATTCTGCTGCCAAACTCCTTCAATTAAATTTAACGTAAGGTGCCTCCTTCTCCTTCTCATCTATATACAATTTATTGCCAAAATGTTTTCCGAGGCACCACGTCGCATCACCTTCTCTCTTCATTTTCAACACATCTCCTTCTTCTCTCTTTGTTTTCACACTTACGCATCTCGCATCTCCGGTTTTGACAATTTCTTCCGGTGACCATCGATGGAGGCTGAGGGCTCAAATCTGGCCGTGGTGTTTCTTCTGGTGACGAGAGCTCTGCAACGTACGGTCGGCTGAGAGCTCTGCGACGTATGCCTGCTCTCCGCCTCCGTTCCATAATCGAAGAAGAAGAAGCTAGATCCGTCGCCGTTCTGCCACTGCCACACGACCGCCGCTCCATCGAAGAAGATGGCTCCGCTGTTATTCTCCCTGGCTTCTGCTACCGTAGCAAGTTCTCCATCATCACCGATGGTGTCCAGAAATCCACAAGGCGGCGACGACAGCGATGATGACCGCCACGGAGACCTCCGGATCTGTTCGATCTCTCCAGATGAGCGACAGATCTGTTCATACACCATCTAGATCTGTTTGATCTCTCCATGTAACATTTTTTTTTAGTTTATTAATTTTTTTTCGTTTTGTTTTCCAGAAAATTGAATCTTAACATTTTTTTTTGAAAATATCCCTTATATATGCAATTTTTTTATTCTTGCTGAAGTTTTTTTTTTTAAATAATTTTTTCTATAAAATTTTAGGTTTTAACATTTTTTGTTAAATTTTATCCCTAATACATATTTGTTAATTTTACATTGATATTCATACAGCTTTGAATTAGTTATTTAGCTATCCTATTTATGCCTTCTGTAGGCTTTGTTGGGTGTGTATGAACGGACTGAGCTCGGCTGCTCGGAAGAATTTTTGCCTGAAATGACTTTCGAAATCTGGTGGTTAATTATTGTAATACTCAATAATATTTGTATTGTGATTATTGTAATTATTGTAATAATTCTCCCCAGTGATGTTCAATCATTATGCTGTGCATCCGTATGTTGCATACGGATGCCAAAACAACGTCGTTTTATTAAAAAACGCGCGTCTCCCAATTTAAAAAAAATTCAGGTTCGATTTCCAACCACAACATTATATTGTTCATTCATTCTGGAATTTTAGTTCATCGATTATAAAATTATAGTTCATCGATTATGGAATTGTAGTTCATCGATTCTGAAATTTTAGTTTATAGATTATGGAATTTTAGTTCATTCATTCTGGAATTTTTAGTTCATAGATTAGATTATGGAATTATAGTTCATCGATTATGGAATTTTAGTTCATATGTTATTGCTGGGAATCGAACTTTATTTTTTTTTTTAAGAGGAGACGCGCGTTTTATTAAAACGACGTTGTTTTTGCATCCGTATGCATCATATGGTGCATATATGCACCATATGGTGTATGCACCATATGGTGCATACGGATGCACAACATAATTTGCCAATGATGTTTGGTTGCTGTGGAGTTATTGGGTTGGAGAACTGTGTTATTCTAAAGAATGTGGATTATTGACTGGATCCAGTCCTTTTAAAAATTGTAATTATTGTAATCATATTTTTATTATGGTTAATTATATTGTAATGCCTAAGCACATAAAATTTTATTTTTTTTAATTAAAAAAAAAATATTTCCGTGTCAATAAAATAAAATAAAATGACTTTTCGCGACACCCACTCACGAAAATTAATTAATAAAAAAAATAAAAAACTTTTTGTGACACACCTGCAACGGAGCAGGTGCTAGAAAGTCTATATATAAAAAGAAATCCTTGGTCAGCTTTCCGCGACATCATATACGGTAACTCGGAAAGCTACCCACTTTCAGTGTCACTAGAATTCGAGGCACCTGCACAGGTGTCTCGGAAAGTGTTTTATAGGCGATTCGAAAAGTGTTTTTTGTACTAGTGAAAGAAACTTAAAAAGGATAAACTATTTTCCGCTCTGCACTACTCTTTCGAGTAAGGTCCCCCCCCCCCCCCCCCCCCCCCCTTCTATAGGAAAAAAGACTGAAATAGGACAAAAATGCTTCCCATTTCCCAAAATATGACGATTTTTTTTTGGACAAATTTGTGAAAACTTCGTTTGGGACATGCGTTTTAGGCATGTCCCAGTTCTTTTTTTTTTTTTTTTTTTATCCGTTTCCAAAGACGCAAATCCTAATTTTTTTATCCGTTTCCAAAGACGCAAATCCCATTTGCGTCTTTGGTATTGTATACGTCAAACGCATTTACCCGTATATTATTAGTATATGGTAAAACGCATGTACGAGATGCGTTTGGAGTATTATACGTCAAACGCATCTCGTACATGCGTTTTAGTCGCCGGTCTTCTTTGAGTGGCGGTGCAAGCGCTCCTGTCGAAGTTGGCACGCCGGGAACGATCGATCACTCTTAAAGAAGGAAATCGAATATTTCAGAAAGCTGGAAATGGAGTTTTCTTGCGGCGGATCCCCATTGAAGCCTCAGAGCTCTGTGGGTGGTGGTTCTTCATCTTCATGGCCTGGTTTTGGGTTCTTGATGATGTTGAAATGGAAGAAGAAGAAGAAAAGGGTGAGTGGAGGAAGATGATGTTTGACGTATAATACTCCAAACGCATCTCGTACATGTGTTTTACCATATACTAATAATATACGTCAAACGCATTTGGTAAATGCGTTTGACGTATACAATACCAAAGACGCAAATCCCATTTGCGTCTTTGGAAACGGATAAAAAAATAAAGAAAAAAAAAGAACTGGGACATGGTAAAACGAAGTTTTCACAAATTTGTCCAAAAAAAAAAAAAAAAAACCGTCATATTTAGAGAAATGGGAAGCATTTTTGTCCTATTTCAGTCTTTTTCCCCTTTCTATACTCTCACACCTTCAGGACCAACAGTTTCCATTATTATTATGGCTTTATGATGATTATGGATGATTAAGATGGTGATGAGCTAATGATTAATGATAACAAGATTAATGATGGGGCCTGCACGGGTTTAGCTCAATGGTTCAATGGGCAAAATTTGAGAGAAGAGACCAAGGTTCGGCAAAATGCCCATATTTAATACATGAAGTAGCTAGCTTCAGAGCAGAGTTGAGTATAGGGCAAAAGGCCCAAGTGTGGAACAGGAACAGGAGAGACGAGGCAGGCCACGCGGTAGACGTGCGGGTTTTCGTGACTAGTGCCCATTATAGAATATGAATGAAAACAATTATTCAAACTATTCTAATGCATGCATGAAATCTGCATATATTTTAGAAATATGCATGTGTACGTGATAACCCTCCACCCTGCCTATCCTTTCTTATCAAAAAAAATAATCGGAGTTTTGGGCTTGCATGGATAAATAGGCGAATTGAAGTAATTAATGGATGGATCTATGATGAATCGGCCTGTTTGCGATTGCGCGGGCGTGCTTGACTGAGAGGCGGAATGCTCTGAATATTCCTGAAGAAGTTTCTATGATCAACCATGGTCTTCACCCTCGCCAACTTGTCGTAGTTTTTATTGAAATACATGGTCCCGTACATCCTCCCTTCTGTTAACGCATGGACGCCGTGCTCGGTGGTCCCAAGGTCCACATCTCGGTAGTTAAGGTACGCCCTTCTTGGGTTGCTGGACACGAATGGCGTCATGAACTCGTACATATCCCTTGCTTGTTGCACGAACAACATCTCCCCCTCCGACCCTTCTTCTTTCCACGACACAGCGTATTGGATCAGGTACAAAACTCCGGATCGGTGAGGGAACGGCGTGGCCACGTCGGAGCAGATTTCCGGCAGTTTCCCGCCGAAGGAGTTGAGCTTCAGCTCTATGTCGCCCAGCTCTATCATCTTCTTTAACATCGATTCTATTGCCACCTTGGGGATTGGCGTCATAACGAAATCGGATTTTCTCTTGGTGAAGAACACCTCGTCGGGGACTCTGCCGAGGAGAATTTCGGGTTTTTTGGCGGTGTGGTCGTAGTTTGCCCACTCGATGACCGATTGGATCCAGGTCATTTCCTGGCAGTCGGAGGATTCTAGCCCCAACGCCGGCATTTCCTTTTCCATGATGGGGAGGAGCTTCGCGGATTCGCCGAGGAATAGACCCATGGCGGTGAGTTTTATGTCGTTCTTCTTCTTGTTCTCCCCCTCGGGGGTGGGCTTTAGAACGAGGCGGATGAAGAGATTGGGGTCCATGGTTTCCACGGCCTTCTGAAACTCCGACACTACATTACTCGCGTGCTCTTCCATGCTTCTCTCCACCGCGAAATGTGTCACCTTTTCTGGCACTTTCACCAGTTGGATTTTATACGCTAAGATGACCCCAAAACTAGCCCCTCCGCCGCCTCTAATCGCCCAGAACAAATCCTCCCCCATGCCCTTCCTATCCAGAACTTTCCCCTTCGCATCCACAAACCGCGCGTCCACCACATGGTCCACCGTCAGCCCGTACTGACGAACCATATTCCCGTATCCGCCGCCGCTAATGTGCCCACCAATCCCGATGGTGGGGGCCGTCCCGGCGGGGAACCCCAGAGTGGGGCTCTTCTCCGAAATCCTATAATAAAGCTCGCCGAGGGTAGCGCCGGTCTGCACCCACGCCGTCTGGGTTCCCACGTCCACCTCCACGGATCGGAGATTGAACATATCAAGAATTAAGTATTCCGATCCGGCCACGTACGATAGCCCCTCGAAGTCATGACCCCCGCTCCGGACCTTAATCGGAACGCCGACGTCGAGAGCGCACGTAACAATCCCCGGAACATGGGTCTCTTCCAATGGAGTTACAATGACGTCGGGTTTGGACGACGAGGAGGTGTTGTAGCACCGGTTTCTCACATAGGCGTTTAAAATCGACAAGAATTTTTCATTTTTGGGCTCATACACAATCTTGGAAACTTGGTCTTTTGGGATTGGGGGTTTAGCGGTGGTTGTCAAGCAATCCACAAACTTCTGGTAGAAATCACTGGTGTCTGCACAAACAGAGACGCGACAAAGAGCTTGAAAAACCAGAAAGAATAATGAAAAGTAGAAGCTCTTCAGCATATCCATATTTATTTATTTTATTTTATGTGTGTTTTTGTGTTGTCTGAGCTTTCATGGATTCCCGGGCTTAGCTTAGCTTAGCTTGTATATATACATATATAGCGTGACGTGGTGATCAAGTGACATTAGGGTAGAACTGAAATGCGGTCAACCATTACAAATTCTTTGACCGGAGATTTTTAATTTACTATTTACATAAGTTCGCTGGTCGGGGTTCTGTTTGTTATGCCATTCTGAGGATAGAATTCAACTTAAAAAGTAAAATATATAAGTCTTTCTTTTATAAAAGATTTTCAAAATGTTTGAAATTAAATATTTTAACATATATATTGGTTGTTTTAATCATTATTTGTGTGACTGCGATGAGAACTGTATAACTGTATTATTAAATAAACTATCACAGAATGAATTTTGAGGTAATAGGAATGCTATTCCATAAGGAATGGATTAGGCAAGGAATAGAATATGAATTCTATTCTATTGTTTGGTTAGCAGAAGGAGTAGACTTTAAGAATTATATTACAGTGTTTGGTTGGTTTAAGGAATAGAATGAAATATGTTTCAAAAGACATAAACACGCTTATAAATATATGTGGTGGCGGTGGTGTTGGTGTTGGTGTTGGTGGCGGTGGCGGTGGCGGCGATGGTGGCGGCGATGGTGGCGGCGGCGGTGGTGGCGACGACGGTGGTGGTGGTGGTGACGGTGGCGGCGATGGTGGTGGCGGCGGCGGCGGTGGTGGCGACGACGGTGGTGGTGGTGGTGACGGTGGCGGCGGCGGCGGTGGTGGTGACGGTGGCGGCGGCGGTTGTGGTGGTGGTGGCGATGGTGATGGTGGTGGCGGTTGTGGTGGTGGTGGCGATGGTGATGGTGGTGGTGGAGACGGCGGCAGTGGTGACGGTGGTAGGGTATTTTCAGTATTACAGCAGGTTTGGTTCACGGAATGAATTTTGAGGTAATAGGAATGTTATTCCATAAGGAATGGAATAGGCAAGGAATAGAATAGGAATTGTATTCTAATGTTTGGTTCGCGGAAGGAATAGACTTTAGGAATTATATTACAGTGTTTGGTTGGTTTAAGGAATAGAAATGAAATATGTTTTAAAAGACATAAATACCCTTATACAAATATGTGATGGTGGCGATGGTGGTGGCGGTGGTGGTGGTGGTGGCAGTGGTGGCAGTGGTTGTGGCGGTGGTGGTGATGGTGGTGGCGGTGGTGGTGGTGGTGTTGGGGTGGTAGTGGTGGTGGTGGCGGTGGCAGTGGTGGGGGCGACGGTGGTGGTGGTGACGGTGACGGTTGTGGCAGTGGTGGTGGAGGCGGCGACGGTTGTGGCGGTGGTGGTGGTGGTGGTGGTGCTGGGTGGTGGTTCTGGTGGCGGTGGTGGTGGTGGCGGCGGCGGCAGCAATGGTGGTGGCTGATGGTGGTGGTGGCAGTGGTGGTGCTGGGGTGGTAGTGGTGGTGGTGGCGGTGGCAGTGGTGAGGGTGGCGATGGTGGTGTGGGCGGCGACGGTTGTGACGATGGTGGCGGCGGTGATAGTGGTGGTGGCGACAACGGTTGTGAAATAGGATAAATTTATATATAGGATAAAAAAATTTGGTTAAAGAAATGGGTAAAAAAGAAAATAGATTCTAAAATCTATTCCTGAGCGTTCAGTAATAGGCTAATACCAGGGGTCCCTAGTAATAACTATTACCTTATTTGAGGTAATAGGCTATTACCAAGAATATTATTCCTGGTAATAGAAATGATTACCAAACAAAGGAATAGGCCTATTACTGGGAATGCTATGCCATTTCCGGCCTATTCCGTGAACCGAATGGGTCATTATAGTACTAAAGCTATTCCCAAATACTTGGGAATAACTAATACCAGGAGGTCCCCTAGGAATGGCTATTCCCCTTGCAAAGGGAATAGCTCATTCTCGGGAACGCTATTCCCTTGAATAAAATGACAAAACAAACAATGGAATAGGTCTATTCCCGGGAATGGTATTCCTTTCCCGACCTATTCCATGAACCAAACACGCCATAAGTTACAACGGTATAGATAAGAGATTATATACAAGAGTAATCATAGGGAAACTAGGACAGTGACTCAAATACAAAGAGTCCTAATACTAGTCTTAATATTCTCCCTTAAACACGTGGTATACTAGTAACATATAGCTTGTGTCTAAGAAAAGAAAACCTAAGACTAGGCAATGCTTTAGTAAATATGTCTGAAAGTTGATCTTTAGTTTAAATAAAATTGACTTGAATTTCTCCAGCAGTAACTAACTCTATCGCTCACAAAATAATAGTCTATCTCTACGTGTTTGGTGCGCACATGAAAGATGAGATTAGCACACATATACGTAGCCCCAAGATTGTCACACCATAATTTAGGGACAGAAATACATGGAACATGGATTTCTCGCAAAAGTGACATAATCCAAATTACTTCAACACAAACATTTGCTAGAGCTTTATATTCAGTCTCAGTGGAAGATCTAGCAACAGTTCTTTGTTTCTTGCAGACCCTAGTCACAAGATTAGAACCGAAAAAACACAGCAAAACCACTTGTAGATTTCTATCCTCCAGACAACCAGCCCAGTCAGAATCAGAGAGGGCATGAATTTCTCTTGAAGATGACTGTCTGACTCGTAAACCAAAAGTAACAATTCCTTTAACATACCTCAAAACTCTTTTTAATTGCTCCAAGTGAGAGACTGTAGGAGCACTCATGTGTTGACACAACTGATTGACTGCAAAGGAAATATCAGGATGAGTGATAGTTAGATATTGTAACGCAACAGCCAAACTCTTGTACTGTGTAGGATCGTCATGTAAGGTTGTATCAATGCCCACGGCTTTTGAAGTAGAAATAGGAGTAGACAGTGTTTTACATTCTGTCATTCCATTACGTTTTAAAATGTCATTCATGTATGTTTGTTATGAAAGTAAAATTCCATCACTACATTTAACTGTCTCAATTCAAAAAAAAAAAATCCAGGTTCACCAAGATCTCTAATTTTAAAAACAGTAGAAAGTTTTGATACTAACTGAGTAATTAACTAGATCATGATCACTCCCCATCATAAGTATATCATCCACATAAACTAATAGATATACAGAATCAGATCCCTGTGTGTATTAAAACAAGGACACATCCGTTTTTTATGCCTCAAAACCAATAGATAGTAAGAAGGTGTGCAAACGATTAAACTAAGCCCTGGGTGCCTATTTTAATCCGTAAAGAGACCTTTTCAGTAAGCAAATATGATTTGGATACTGAGCATCAATATAACCAGGTGGTTGCTTCAAGTACACAATTTCAGATAGATTTCCATTTAAGAAGGCATTATGAACCTCAAGTTGCCTAATAGTCCACCCAGATGATAAAGCGAGAGAAAGAAGTAACCTGACTATAGTTGGCTTAACCACTGGACTAAAAGTATCAAAGAAATCTTGTACAGGCACCTGATTGAACCCTTTTGCTACAAGTCTTACCTTATGCCTCTCAATGGAGCCATCTGCCTTTCGCTTTGCATGAAAAACCCACTTACACCCAATAATATTCAGACCTACCTGTGATGGCACGAGAGACCATGTTTGATTCTAAAGAAGAGCATTAAATTCTTGATCCATGGCTTCACGCTATTCTAGGTATTTAACTGCTTGAGTGTTCGAAGAACAAACCTGTATCGTTAAAGCGGACGGTGGAGCCATAGATCGACTCCGAGTACTCATTACGTGAGTTCGAACGGTGAACTTCACGGTTTTACCTCGATGACGTCCACGAGGCCGAGCAGCTGACTGGGTCCGTTGGCTGATGTTCGGGTAGGCCGGCTAGCTTGGTGGCGGGCTGCTGAGGCGATGGTGGCGCGGCAATATCGTCGCCGAAGCTGGCATCGATTCTGCCGGGCGGCTGCTCAGGCAGAGCAGTGATGACTCCAGCAAGGTAAAAGACTGATTCAGCCCACGGACTGATCTGTACTGGAGGAGATGCATACGAATTAATTTTAGTAGCAAAGGGGTAGACTGTCTCATCAAACCTCAGATGCTTGCACACATAAATCTTGTTAGTCTGTAAGTCCATGCACCTATACCCCAGGAATGACTCAAGATACCCTAAGAAGACACATGGAGAGGAACATTATGAAATTTTGTGACGATTATATAGTCTGATATATGGATAACATAGACACCCAAAGACACGCATGAAAGAGTAGGAAGGGTAGGAGTTATGCAATTTTAAATGAGGACTGGAGTTATTTACAACAACATATGGCATTTTGTTACTTAAACAAACCGCAGTTTCAAAAGTAAAATCCCAGAATTTATACGGAACAGAGGCACGGGCTAGAAGAGCTAAACCTGTTTCAACTATGTGTCTATGCTTACGTTTGACACGACCGTTTTGTTCATGAGTGTAGGCACAAGATTGGCGATGAATAATCCTAGTTGAGCAGAGGAATGATGCAACTTTTTATATTCAGTTCCTAGATCAAATTGAATAGACTTAATTTTCTTGTTGGAAAATGTTCAAGCATTGTACGAAATTTATCAACAATGGCATACAGATCAGATTTTAATTTCATGGGAAAATACCAGGTGTAGCGGGTATAATCATCCACAAAAATGACAAAATATCGAAAACCATCAATGGACAATAAAGGAGTTGGACCCCAAATATCTGTATATATTAAGTCAAGAACACTAGAACTGGATGACTCAACACGTGACAATTCAAGCAGATTTGGCCAATTGACACGCATTACACAAACTAGAATTCCAACGAATAGAATTGTAAAACCCACTAACCGAACATAATTGAAGAATACGAAGTAAAACACGATGATGTAGATGTCCTAAGCGATCATGCCACACTGACGCAGACATATGAGCGGAAAGAAACACGGAGGGTGATGAACTGGCGATTGGAAACCTGTATAGACACCCAAAGCTATTGCCCTGTAGCAGCACTTCCTTGGTATTGGTATCCTTCACAACAAAAAAAAGATGGATGAAACTCAAAGAACACTTTATTATCGGAAGCAAACTTTTGAACCGATAACAAAGATGTAGACAAACTAGGAACATGAAGGATATTAGATAATTGAAAAGACCTATATGGGGTATTAAAGAAAGCATGACCATCACGACTAATAGAGAGTGCCTTACCATCACCAACACGCAAAGTGTCATTACCCGTGTATTCTTCAGATGTAAATAGGGCTGCAATATCTGGAAACACATGATTGGTTGCCCCAGTGTCTGGAATCCATACCTGAGAACCATTCTGATTTGGACTATTATTCTGATATATCAAATTTTCTTGTGGAGGAGGATCATAACAGTTGTAACATGCCAAGGTCGAGTGACCGGTACGACCACAAATTTGACATTAGGTTTGACCGCCATTACCACCTTGACCTCCGTGGCCACGTTGACCACCGTTGCGGCCTCTAAACGATCGGCCACTACCGCAATTGCCGCTGTTGCGATGACCGCCATGGTTACCACCGTGATTGCCGTCGCAGTTTCGCCCTCCTCGTTGGGCGGTAAAAGCTACCGGCAAGCCACCATTAACGGCTCCTCGGATGAATTCTTGAACTCCTAGAAAGTCGGTTAGCTCTGTAAGGGAAACGGTGTGGGCGCGAACTGAAAACGATGCGGTCAGATTTTGATAATCCAGTCGTAAACCCCGAAACACATAAAGATTCATCTCATCCAATCCAACCGGCCGACCGGCCAGAGATAGTCCCCCATAATAACACGTGCACGACCAATATAGTCGGCAACCATGGAATCTCCTTGACTAAGAGACTGAAGTTGGCCAAGGAGATTTAGTGACCGAGCACGAGATGCGCAAGCCAACAACTGTTCGATTGATTCCCAAACTTCTTGCGACGTACGACGTCCAACAGCAAGATGCATGACTTCCTTAGGGAGAGAAGAAATCAACATAGACATAAGAACCCTGTCATGACAGAACCACACCATGTAGGCGGGGTTAGACGTCGTCGGCGGTGGGGAGGAATGGAGTCGAACACGGATGGCTCCCATCGACAAACGGCAAGAGGCCGTGACCGTCCAAGAACAGAACGACTTGAGTCCTCCAAAATAGATCATTTTTGTTGATGAGCTTAATACTGATAAAGTGGTGAGCAGTAGAAAGCGAATTAATAGCCATACTAGCGGAATACGTGATAGCAGATCAGAAATGGTTCGTTGGAGGAGTTAATGGATTCGTCAGCCATGGAAATAAAGAGAAAAATCCTAGTTAACTGATACCAGATTTGAACTGTATAACTGTACTAGATAAACTCTAAATTACAACTGTATAGACAGAGAGATTATATACAAGAGAAATCATAGGGATACTAGGACAGGGAGTCATACAATGACTCAAATACGAAGAGTCTTAATACTAGTCCTAATACAATCAATCTCCAGCTCATATTTTATCATTTTAAATTGTCAACAGCATATATGGTTACTTCTAAACTGACATGGGAATTTGTAAGGGGATGTAGACACAATATAATACCACAATACTATGTATATAAGGTCCTATGTGCCAACATTACACATCTTTTATATAAATATATATATATATATATATATATATATATATATATATATATATATATATATATATATATATATATATATATATATATATACTTAGGTGATTCTAATTTCAACAAACTAATTCTAAGCTCACATGACCTTGCTTTAAAAACCAGTGCAGAAGTAAATTACGAGTCATGCAATCAGTCTACCGATTATACTCGAACCTCTATACTAGTGTGTTCTGTCCTGACATTAAGTCAAGTGACAAATCACTACGCTAAGTCGGGACATTTACACTATTTATGGAAATGCATCCACATAAGAAGCTGAAGTTATATATCGAAACCATGTAAACGGCTAAACAACTAAACAAGTTTGCTTTAGTTTCTAGCCACAAGATTAATTATGATATATCTACACGCTTGTTTTTAACAAGAATGTATGAAAAGAAATAAGAGGAAATAATCCCTTAGCTTTGGAATATTAAGACTAGTATTATGACTCTTTGTATTTGAGTTACACTATGACTCCCTATCTTAATCTTTCTATGATTCCCTCTTATATATATTCCCCCAATCTGTACAATTGTAATTACACTCATTCAATACAATTCTATTAGTTTTCATCTGGTATCAGTTTAAGGTAGGTTTATTTCCTAATGGCTGACGAATCTATTAACTCTTCAAAACGTACCGTTTCTAATCTTGGTATCTCTTCGGTCAACTGGACCGTGAATACCTTGTCTACTGCTCACTACTTTATCTTTATCAAACTGACCTACAAAAACTTCATGTTTTGGAGAGCCCAGATTGTTTCCTTTCTTGAACTACTCACCACTTTATCTCTATCAAACTGACCTACAAGAACTTCATGTTTTGGAGAGCCCACGTTGTCCCCTTTCTTGATGGTCATGATTTGTTAGGGTTTATCGATGGCACAAACCCATGTCCACCGCCATTTTTTTCCGGCAAAGAGGGTACACCGACACAATCGAATCCTGCTCATCGGGCTTAGGTGCGGAAGGATCAATCTCTCTTGTCCATGCTAATGTCCGACAAGGTGATGCGGATGCTAATGTCCGATGAGGTGATGCGGATGCTAATGTCCAACGAGGTGATGTCGTTGGCCATCGGGCATCGTACTAGCCGGACCGTATGGGTCGCCGTCAGAGCTGTCAAAACAGGCCAACCCGGCACATACGGGCTGGCCCGTCTCAAGTTCATCCGGAACCCGCAAATTATGCCCTGGAAACGTGTTCACCATGAATGGTGAACACGGGCCCAAATAGCGTCATTTTTACGGGAAAAAAAAAAATTAGTTAATGTGCTGTTAACGGCGTTTTGCATTTTATGTTCAGATTATGAATTTACATTTATTAAATTATGAATTTTCTGTTATGAGATTATGAATTTGCAGTATGTAATTATGAATTTTCTATAAATTCATAATCTCATAACAGAAAATTCATAATCTCATAACAGAGATTATGAATTTTCTGTTATGAGATTATGAATTTACATTTATTAAATTATGAATTTTCTGTTATGAGATTATGATTTTACAGCTATGTAATTATGAATTTTCTGTAAATTCATAATCTCATAACAGAAAATTCATAATTTCATAACAGAAATTTCATAATTTCATAGCAGAAAATTCATAATCTCATAAGAGAAAATTCATAATTCCATAACTGCACATTCATAAATCTATGCCTGCACATTCATAATTTATGAGCGTTGAAGAATCTTGCGCGAAGAGGAAGTGAAACCGCGAAATGTGTAAATGAAGAAGAAAAGTCGCGTTGTTAATTAAGAGAGAGAAAAATAATAATAATAAAATAACAATAAAAGATAACGGTGTCGTTACCGTTGGGACCGTGGTCACCATGTTCACCATGTGAACGGGCATAACGATTGTCCGGAACCGAGCCGACTCGTTTTCTCACGGGTTGGAGTTTTCCCAACCCAACCCGTGTTGGACGGCTGACGGGCCAGCCCGTCAACCTGTTTATTTATTTTTTATTTTGTATTATTAAAATGTATTACTTTTGATATAGCTTAAGAATTGAACCTTTGTGACCTTTAAGTTAACATCAAAGTTAACAACTAACACTCTTTCCAACTAAACACATCAATCTTTTCGAACAAATATCATGTATGAATATATATATATATATATATATATATATATATATATATATATATATATATATATATATATATATATATATATATATGTTATGTACGTACTCTGTTGTTTTGTGTTCATTGATGAGAAATTTCGTGTATTCTCTCACATCCCTAGACATGATATCATGAGTTTATTGTATGTGCAATTATCTGGGAAGGTGGGGGTGTGGTTTGAAAGCTATGCTCATGGATTGAGGGAAGAGTTCCACTGGCCTACCTTTGCTAAGGCAGTATGCAAAAGGTTTGGTGATAGTGGGGTGTCATTGATGGAGGATTTTGCTGCTTTTAGGCAGATATGAGGAGTGGATGAGTTCACAGATAGCTTTGAAGGGTTTAGGATCTTACTATTACAGGCTCATCCCAATCTCACTGTGGATTATTTCAAAGAGAACTACATTGCAAGACTGAAGCCACAGCTCAGGTGTTTTGTTAGGACTGCCAGACCAACAAGCCTAGAGGAGGCAGTGTGGTTTGCTAGGCAGTATGACAAGGGACTGAAGGTTCCTGAGAATCCTAAACCACCCTATTGGAACCCTAGAAACACACAGCCTACTAAAACCTTTAGCTCCAATTCAAACCAACCAAACACCCCTAGCCCTTACCCTAAACCATCAATATCACAACAAACCACTGCATCTAAGGCCCCAGAGATTACCCAATTCAAGAACCAATTGAGGGAACAAAAGAGGTGTTTCAAGTGCTTTGAGTCATGGCAGCCAGGCCACAAATGTACCAAGCCCACCTTTAATATCATAGAGGACCGAGGTGTGACACCCCGTAATCCAAATTCGATTAAGGGATTAATTAAGTAATTAATCCTAATCCAATTGATAATTTAATTCCTTAAATTTCTGAAAATTCAATAGTCGGGGACTAGTAATTGACTAGTCAACCCAAAGTCAAAAGTCGTACCTTAAGCTTTGTGAGTTGTTCCCTTACACATTTCATTTTAGTAAGGGCAAATAAGACATTTCCTTGGCAATAGTCTTTCAAGCTAACCTAGGAAGACATATTTCATTTCTTCAAACACTCTCCAAGAGAAAAATCATAAGCTCTCTCTCTTCTCTCTAAAAGTTAGTTAGCTTTCTTTCCAAGCCACACCTAGGGCTACCAAGATCTTTCAAGTTTGCTTTCAAGATTCTACCTTTCTTACCTTTGAGCATCTAGGAGGGTAAGATCTAAGCTCCTCTTGTATTTTTAGTGTTTTCTAAGGTATCTTTTTATAAAGGTGAAATCTTTATGTTGTTTTGGTGTGTTCTTGAAGTGGGTGTGGAAAGGGAACCTTGTTGGGAGCCTTGTGGAGTGTTGTAAGTCAAGGATAAGTCTACAAGAGGTAACCCATGCCTTACCTATATGATGATTTCTTGGATTCTACATGTGATTTTGCTGTGAAATGTGAGTGTTTATGCATTGTCTTGTGAAAATGCATATCTAGAGCTTGTGTTTAGGGTTCTTGTATGCCATTGCTTGGCTATTCCTTTGATTCAAGTCATTTTGTTGTATTTGGTGAGATTTGGCTTGTTTTGGACTTGAATTTGAGCTTGGTGTTGAAAATCCTCGAAGGGATTATTTGGTGTACAGGTATGTATCCGCGGGCGGAACGGCGGGCAATGGCCTACCCGCCGCCCCACCCGTGGGGTACAAGGTGGCTTGTGGGTATGTACCCGCGGGCGGAACCACGAGTGGGGGTCTACCCGTGGGTCCACCTGCGGAGAACATTATGTGGTTGTTGGGGGATTTGTTCCCCGTGATTCTTTTTACTCGGTATTTGGTCTTTTGACTTCCCGATGTTCTTTTGTAGAACTATTTGAGTGTCTTCTTGATGTTTCGTATGTCTAAAACTATATGGTAGGAATCCATGTAGGTTTTGGTGTCTTGAATTGTGCTAAGTGTTCAACATTGTGTTTCGTTGGACCGTGATGAGTCTTGTGTGTTCTTCGGAACTACGTTTGGTTTACCCGTTTGATATGCATGCTAGTTCGGTGTTTAAATGCTAGCGTGTGTGTTGTTTGTCCTTTCCTATTGTTGATGATGACTTGTGTTAATCATCGTTGTTGTTGGACTGTGATCCATTCTTTGATTGAGTACGGTTTCATATCTTCGTTGTGATCCGTTGATTGATTCCTGTTGTGGTATGGTGTGTGTGGCTGTACCTGGATTGCACGATTAGTGGTATGGGACACTAGTCACCAAGGTACGATAGTGGTCCTCGTGGTGGCCATGACACGATTATGGAGTTTGTGACCTGAGTGATTGGTTCACGTATTTCTTGGGTGACATGTGTTGCCGTGTGTGTGATCGGTACCCTCGTGTACTATGAAATTGGTGGTCGTTGGTGGAGGACGACGGTCCCAGGAGGGAAAAGGTTGGACTTGGTTGTACAAGGGTCCTGGAGGTAATGGTTGGAACTAGACATAAGGTTGGGGGTAGCCATAAGGTTGGAACCGGGCATAAGGAAGGCATCTCAATTCGTGATGGGTGATGTCACGAAGGCTTGTGTAGCCGTTGTTGTGTATTTCTTTATTTGTGACGTGTGATGTCACAAAGGCATGTGCTGTCAATGGGTGTGTCCCTATTCTTTGTGTTATGCATGTCAGGTGTTAATCTACTGTGTGATGGTAGATTATACCTCGAGTCGTCCTTGTGTGTCGTTATTACTTCTTGGTGTCTTGGGATGTGTTCCCTTATCTTTATTCACTAGTACAGAAACAGTCATTCGCGTCCAAAGTAAAGCGTCATTCGCGTCCAAAGTAACTGGGACGCAGATGGCGGGGACGCGAATTGTATAATACAATTCGCGTCCAAAGCTACTTTGGACGCGAAAAATGATAAATCGCGTCCAAAGTTCTTCAACTTTGGACGCGAAAAATGATAATTCGCGTCCAAAGTTCGTGAACTTTGGACGCGTATAGTGTTTATTTATTTAAAAAAATACTATACGCGTCCAAAGTTCCTGAACTTTGGACGCGTATAGTAAACAATTTAAAAAAAAAAAAAATTATAAAACTACCAATATTTTCCTGTACATCCTAGCATAACTACCAAATAATATATTTCAACATTAATCAATTTAAGATATATACTACACACCAATTCTATCAACATTTGTTTAACCTGCAAAAATTATAGATAATACAAAGGATTTAGATATACATAATTAACTAAAAGATTTCCTCATTTTTAGCTTCCATAACCATTTACAGTGACAAACTTTTCTTATATGAAGAAGAAAACAGACCAAGAATGAATTAAGTCAGAAACAAGGCCAGAAAATTGTCATAGTGGGGTCATCCAACAACATATACTCCATCTATAAGGAATGCAAATAGCAAGAAACAATCCATCAATTATCTGACCAGGTGTTTTGGAGCATACCATGTCCAAATGGGTGAAGTGCTCAATTCGTGTGTTTGCAAACAACCTATACAACAAAAATGGTTATGGTCACTTGGCCAGTTGCAGCAAAGAAACCAAAGACAATGGATAAGGGAAACCCTTGATTTAAGGTGGGGTTTTATAAAATTTAGTCCTTACTTCTCATATGCAGTTTGGACTCTAGCATTCTGTATCTCTGTAAGTTCATTTACTCTTTCTGTTGCACAACCTTCATTTATATCCACAAACCCATGGAGAAACATGTTCCTTTCCAACATTCTTTTGACTAAAGCACAGACAATTTTTATATTGTTAGCTTTTGCATCTGCAACAAGGTTTCGCAACCTCTTCAATTCTCCTATAAAGGAGTTAATTAGTATGCACCATCACATCAATGACCATATAACATTTCAGCAACAGGAATCACTTTTAAAAGAGAAATTGATAGTTTAAAAGAGAAATTGCAACCAATGAAAGTGCCAAAACACAGACCTTGATATTAAGTTCATCTCTTTCAGCCAGCATCTGCAACAAATGTTGATTCTGATTCTGCATGGATGGTAAAAGGTTAAATCAGGAAAAAATATGTTTAAGCTTAAGGCTTCACACAGTAGAAAATAAAATGAAATAGAGATGAGGAAATATATACTGAAAATGTTTTCCTAATGAAGGATAGTTAAAGAGAATGAAAGAATAATTACTTGTAACATGGAGGATACTGAAAATTTATATTTTACTCTCTTTTCCATCAAACTTGCCCTATGGATCCAAGCCAAGCTAAAGACACTCCCAACTCCGAGTGTGTGCTATACTTGGAGCCTATAAAGACTCCACCATTCATGGCACAAAACCCGAATGGGCCCCTAAGGCTAGAAGCTACCCCAAGAATCTCTTCTAGAGAGCTTTTTGCCCCAAGAGGCAAGACATGCACATATTATGTCTGTTTTGTTGGATAAACATCATATCCCAACAAAAACACTAAAACATTATCCCAACATAAGCTATACTATACTCCCCAACTTCCTCATCATTCTCAGATGCAGTAATACAGTAGTTGACTAGTAATATTGGAACTATATCAGCCAAGTGGGAACCAAAATGTATGGCCGCCAAGTCTAAATTAAACTCCCACTACGAAAACCCAAGAGTTTATTAACTTTGAGATCTTTAAATAAACTAATATGATCAGTAGAGGTTGTGAATGCTTACTTGGAGCTTGCTGAGTTTAGTTCATGCCATGAAAGAGACAATTGACATTTCTCAGGTCCTCCAATTCAGATGCCTCCACAACTTACTCAAATAGACAGGGAGGCCAGAGTTCTGAGGTACAAAGAGAAGAAGAAGACCTATGCACACTATGTGTTAATAACATAATCAGTGGATAATGTACACACGTAAGAAGAAGGAAAAACATAACAAGAGTGATAACAATTAATCAATCAACTTAAATCATGCAACAGTTACAACGTTTAGACCTTGTCATCATAGAGTATAAATAGAGACCTTCTCCTATGTTTGAGAAGACAATCAAGTACGCCTCAAGAAAGGCCTATGCAGAAACCATAGTTATGTGGATAAAGAACAGATGAGTAGAGAATTCGATCAATCTAATCTAATCATATAAAATTCATACAAATTTAGTCACTCAGCTCGCTGGAGTTTCGACAATACTATATTAAACAGGCTGATCGGATAACTAATGAAACACAATCTACTTTTACCAAATGAAACAAGCAAACTGGTGAATCACAAATCACAAATTAGGTCCCCATCAGATACATCTTTAAATGAACATGCATCTAATTAATAATATGAACATGCTAATGAAAATTTAATTCATCAATTCATTCTGTTACCAATCTTACGATCCTACATCTGTACACTGTTGTATATTTATAATCTGTGTATTGTTCTTTTCACCCTACACTTTTAATGGTTCTACCGTTCTAGTAAAATAGGTTACAACAGTGGCATCTAGAATTATTTCATAATCATTTTGAGCTTACTCAACTAAGCAACAATATGCAAATGGTTTATAGCTTGTAACTATATTTAAGATTTACATACATACATACATCTATTACACTTGGACATTTATTGAACGACCCACACAAGTGCAAAGCATAAAGTAAACCTTTACCAAATGGATATGAAACAACTTTCAGGTTATGGCAGAGAGGCAACGAAGATTTAAAGAAAAATAAAATAAAGCTCATACTTGACTTTGCTGCCGTTACCAATCTCAACCTTCGTCAACTGTGGATGAAGGGGGAGGCAGCCATGGCATGCTAAATCTGGAAACTATCATTTATCTTTTGAACCTGCATGTCATGCCTACATTATATTAATTATGGAATTAATACAACATACAGTTAATTAATATGTATTCTAATTATTATTACTACCTAGGCTACTATAATATAATATAAACATGCACACCAAATCATCTATCACAGACGAATTGAAGTGATAGAGAATTAGAGATGAGATCAGTTGAACATACATACATAGCTAGCTTGCCGTAGATCAGATCAGAGGATGGAAATTAAATCATATTTGCATCCACTCTCACCATCTTTTTCTTCTTCTTCGATCTTCTTAATTTCTATGTCTATTTTGTTGGATAAAGTGATGAGAGTATATCAAGTATCACAAACAACACATATAAAGTCATCATTATATACCAGAAATAATTACATACCAAATTAACATGTCTAGGCAAAAAAAAAAAGTCAGAGTAAGCAATGCCTTGTGACTTTGCAATCAATGATAATATAGAAATGGGCAATAAAAGATGAGTAAGAGACAAAATAAGGAACTGCTAGATCTACTAAACAGCAGTGCCTTGAGACCACAAGTAAATGCAAAAACAAAAACAAAAACTAAAAAAAACAAAAAAAAAAAACAAAAAAAAAAACAAAAAAAAAAAAACTCTTTTTTTTTGCTCTATTGTCAAGGGAAAATTATGTGACCTGAGGTCACCTAGGCACATAACTTCATATCAAATTGCATCAACAAACTCTCTGTGAAATTACAAACAAGAAAGCCACTCAAACCTGGATAAGCTTCTTTACTAAACAGATTTGCCACAACGTGAGCCATTATATAAAAGTCCCCAAATTTGTGTGATAGTATCTCTCAACCAAATGATGCAATCTTGCTTGTACAAGATGTCAGAGCTATGCAAAACAAGACAGATATAGATCTCATGAATGAAAACAAAAGTAAAAAATAATCAGCATGTTTAATGAAAGAAACTAGTAAATAAACAACATAGCATCTTAATTCTTAAACCCCTATTGGATAGTTTACAAATCCCCTATTTACTTCTGAATTTGCTGCCATAAAGAAAACAAAAGTTTTGAAAAACCACAAATCTTTAACAGCTTCAGCAGACCTTTCATGATTCCACAAACCTCAATCTCCCACCTTTACTATCAAAATATATGTATCAGGAAAATCCAATAAAACTCCTTATTACTAGCAGATATGGACCTTGAGCTAGAAATAAAAAACAAAACCTGTATGTTTTCTATCAGATCCCTAATTAAAACTCTATAACAAAAAGTACAGAAATCGTTCACAACAAATTAGACATATGCAGAAACCAGAAAATCAGAGATAAGAAGTAGAAGAGTGAAATTAACAATAAAAACACCACAAAATCTTAAGATCAGTAGCTAAAATTATACCTCAACAACCGTGGGGACGGGAGAAGATGCTTTACTCTGAGGAGACTGATCCATCACGGGAACCGCGGAGCTTGCAAACACCTTTAGTCGGTTGGGAGCATTAGACTCCAAACGGCACCGAGAAGGAAGAGTAGCGGAGGCAGGGAGGCGCACGGCGAAGTCACGTAGGGTGGCTTTGCGGTGGGAGTGTGGGGAGAAGGCGGGATTGGGTGGGCAGAAACAGGAAGACGCCATAGAGAGAGAGAGAAAGGTCGGAGCGGATGAAGATTAGAGCGGATGGAGATGGTTTACGCGTAGCTACTGGGTTGCTAGGGTTTGGATTAAGAAAATGCAAACTTTGGACGCGAGTGATGAATGAGATTTTATTATTCGCATCTAAAGTATTGAGCTTTGGACGCGAGTGATGGATGAGATTCTATTATTTGCGTCCAAAGTATTGAGCTTTGGACGCGAATAATAGAAGACTTTTATTATTGGCGTCCAAAGTACAGAGCTTTGGACGCCAATACTGTTTTAAAATTAAAAAAAAAAAAATTTATTTATATAGTGACATTTTAATTACAAAAATGCCACCGCATTACACTTTAGGCGTCCAAAGTTCTAACTTTGGACGCGAATTAGTCGATTTTATTGATGTTTTTTGTACTAGTGATTGTGAGTGCATAGAGTTTTGTGTTGATCTCTATCCTGGCTTTTGAAATTGATATATACTATATCCCGTTTTGCAAATGATTTTTGTATACATATAAACTAACTACATATGATATTTCACATGTATTGGTGGGTTACCAGCATCATTCGCTGACCGGGAGTCGTCCCTTATTTTATGTGTTTCTTTCAGGTGATGAGTAGACGAGAGCGCAGTCTAGAACCTGTTAGCTTAGATCCATTTGTTTTGAGATGTTGTGGCCTGTGTGCCAAAGTTTGACATTAGTACTCATGTTTCTGTATGAATTTAGATTGTGGATTATGCAGATGTTTCGCCTGTGCGTTCACCTTTGAGTGGACGTGGCATAGCACCCTTTATTTCCTATTTATTTAATCTCTGTTAGTCTTTCGCTGTGTTTGATTTTATGACTAGTTATCTGCATGTCTAAGGCTTAATTTAGCATGGAAATTAGGGGGGTTACACAAGGAGTCCCTAAGCCTTCTGAATTTTTGGAACAGATAGATGAAGGAGTGGAATCAAAAGAGGGAGAAGTGACTTTGTGTGCTGTGATGGGTGGAGAAGGATTAAACACCATCAAATTGCTACGATCTGTCCAGAAGCAATCCCTGGTGATTCTGGTGGATAGTGGAAGTACCCACAGTTTCTTGGACCCAAAAATAATGGGGCAATTGAGAAGGGAACCAGAGAAGGCAGCCCCATTAGTGGTAACAGTTGCAAATGGAGAAAGAGTGGTGAGTGAGGCAGTCTGTAGGGATTTCTGTTGGCAGGTTCAGCAGGAACAATTTGTCAAAACCTTCAGGCTGCTAAGACTTGGAGGTTGTGACATGGTTTTGGGCATGGATTAGGTAGACCAGTATGCTCCAATCCAGCTGCACACAAGACTACCTGGGATCTCTTTCCACAAGGAAGGGATGAAGGTTTCTCTCAAGGGTCTGTCCAAGAAGGTTCTATTGAAAGGGGCATCTGAGAGACAAGTTAAGAAGTGGCATAAGGAGGGGGTTCATGGGTTCCTGGTGCAGTGTAGTGCCCCCACAGATATAACCCCAGACTTACATCCCAAACCTACCCACAAAAAACCCCTATCTACCCAAGCCTTGGAACCTGAATTACAGGACCTCCTACATGATTTCCAAGACTTATTCCAGGAACCAGCCAGCCTTCCACCTAAAAGGTCTTTAGACCACACCATACCACTAATCCCTAGGGATAAGCCAGTCAATTCAGGCCCATACAGATACTCCTATGACTAGAAGAACACCATAGAGAATATGGTGGATGAAATGCTGGTAGCTGGTGTCATTACTCCTAGCTCTTCCTGCTTTGCATCCCCAGTATTACTTGTGCCTAAGAAAGACAACTCTTGGAGGTTCTGCATTGACTATAGAGGGCTTCACAACATTACAGTAAAAAAAATAAATTCCCTATACCATTGGTGGAGGACTTAGTTTTAGAGTTAGCTGGAGCTGTGTGCTTTTCTAAATTGGATCTCAGGTCTGGCTATCACCAGGTCAGAATGAGGGAAGGAGAGGAGTTCAAAACTACTTTTAGGACTCACCATGGGCTCTATGAGTTCAAGGTGATGCCCTTTGGATTGACCAATGCACCTGCAACTTTCCAGGCTTTGATGAATCAGGTTTTCAAGCCTTTACTCAGGAAAATTGTGTTAGTGTTCTCTGATGACATTCTTGTCTATAGTCCTAGCAGAACTGATCATTGGCAGCACCTGAGGCAAGTGTTGGTGATTATGAGGCAACATCAACTCCTAGCCAAACTCAATAAGTGCTCATTTGCTCAGCCACATGTGGAGTACTTAGGCCATGTCATTTCCCATGAGGGACTGCATACTGACCCTGCCAAGCTAGAAGCAGTAGCTGCCTGGCCAAAGCCCATGGCAATCAAGGCCTTGAGGGGATTTCTGGGATTGGCAGGGTATTACAGAAGACTCATCAAAGGGTATGGAGTACTCAGTAGGCCTCTCATTGATATGTTGAAAAAAGATGCCTTCCAATGGACTGAAACAGCAGAACAACCTTTTGAGGATTTAAAAAGAGCCCTTTGCCATCCACATGTGCTTGCCTTGCCTGACTTCAAGAAGGAA